AAAAACAACTTCTCATCTTTTGTTCACACCTCAAAACGTTAGCGTTTCTGTTGTCATGACAACTGGGTTGCATCGAGCTGAGGCTGTGAGCCCGAGGGAACGCCACAAGTGTTGGAACTACAGTTCCCACAATGCTCTGCGGGACACAAACAGGAAGTATAGTGAGTTGTAGGATCTTCTTTGTTTTAGCTTTAGCTTTAGTTCCATTAACGGTAGCCGAATTGTCCGTTAGCGCAGACGGCCGTCACTGGATCGCTGCCACGCCGAGGGAAACTAAAAACAGGATCATTGTAAGGCAAGTTCTGCAGTCAGAAGGAGCGTCTCGTTTTATGGAGAGAGTGTGATATTTACTTTAATCCACTGGTTCCCAACCCACTCCTGACTTCACTACATATTTTATGGATATTCAATATTTAATTCACAGCGGAGAACAACTGCACTCAGTAACTGCAGATTATTTATTTTAACAATCAAACACTTTGATTCGACATTTCAGTCTTTTCTCTCTCCAACGCTTCTTCTGTTTTCTCTTTGCTTGTTAGAACTGCCGGACCTTTTACGTATCAAGAAGGCCTCGCGACCCCCCGTGATGCTTTTGCGACCCCTAGTGGGGGCCCCGACCCTCAGGCCTTAACCTCGTCCACGCCGTGTGGAGAGCGATCCAATCAGGAGTTAAAGAGGCGGACGGAGAGTGTTTCAACTGTTTGTTACAGTTACAGTGAACAGATAATAAGAGCTGTCTGTGCGCCCTGAGACTCGCTGTATTTGGTGTATTTGGTGTCTTTTGGAGCCAAACTGTCGTGAATAATTAATAAGATGTGGGAGAGCACACGTAGCACACAGCGCTATTAGCTGCAGCAACAGGTCTCTAACTGTCTGTTCTTACAGGAACAACATAAATACGAGGAAGCTAACGGCGCTCTGGTTCTGGTTGACCTGGACTTTAATGATCTTATCTGCTGAGAATAACACACCTGTCACCTGTAATGGTTCGAGCCCCGCCCACCCGCTCTGATGTGGTCAGTCCCTGCAGCTGACAGGACGTCGTTTCATTTGACTTATTTCAGTCTGAGTTAGAAATGCTGTGAGACAATGGTCGACCCCCCCAGACTACCTAAATATTAAAAGATAAAATTCTAACTGAACATAAAAACAAACAGTCTCTCCACCCGTCGGCGTTCCCGGTGCGACGCCCGTCCTACAGCAGGACACAGGGCTTCTTGGTGACGGTGGGCTGCGGGTTAAGGAACGCCCTCACGGCCTCGGCGAACACATCCTTTATGCCGTCCTGGTTGAGGGCTGAGCACTCCATGTAGCGCACGGCATGGATCTGGCGGGCGAGGGCGGCGCCCTGCTGGTGGGTGACGGGTGTCTGGTTCTGCTCCTTCAGCTTCCTCTGAGTCTCGGCGTCGTTCCGGAGGTCGCTCTTTGTGCCGACCAGGAGGATGGGAACGCCGGGACAGTGGTGGGACACCTGAGGAGGAAGAACAACGAGAAACAGTCAGAATGACCTCTGCTCGCCTGGAAACTCTCTGAACTGATAATACGCTGCTTTCCCATTTATTAATATCTTTCTGTATCTTCGTCATCACGGATCAGGTCTGGGTTATATTCAGCCGGAAATTACGGTATATGTAAATATAAAGAAAATGTAAACAAAATTTTCCAGCTTCAGGTAAGAATATATAGAATGTATTAATATAAACTTATATACATATAAGAGACACATGATGCCTTCAAAGCCCTGAAATTAAAATGAATTCCTGCTCCTTTAATCTGTTGCCAGGTTGATTTGACCTCTGACCTCTGGGTGCCACTTGTGTTTGACGTTCTCGTAGGAGGCGGGGCTCGAGATGGAGAAGCAGATGATGAAGACGTTGGTCTGCGGGTAGGACAGCGTCCTCAGCCGGTCGTACTCCTCCTGACCCGCCGTGTCCCACAGGTTCAGACTGATGGTCCTGCCGTCCACCGTCACCTGAACGCACCACACACACACACACACACACACACACACACACACACACACACACACACACTGTCAGGGGTTTGTGTATCTGTGTAACTATGGTGATAAAAGTTTGTTTGGTTCACAACAACAAACTGAATCTTAGAAATATAACAACCAGATCCACTAAATTATTAAAACAACAAAATATTAAAGCTCCTATATGTAATAATTAAACTGTAGCTAACAGCGCCACCAGTGGTCGTTCAGTGAACTGCATCCTGGGTATCGGGCCAACAGCGTCAAACACTGAACGCTGTAAAATAACTGACAGTCATATTTAGAATAACGTTTCTATCTGCAATGTTCCTATATTATATTTAGACTGTTAGCTCCATGCTAATAAGTAGCTCGCTGTTTACAAATCAGCCATCAGCCAAAACCACGAAGCAACCAACGCCAGACCCACAATGCAACACCAAGACACAGAATCGACACCGTTTGTCTGAACACATAAGTTATTATCATTGATCACGTTAGCTGGGGATGCTAACATTAGCCAACATTCAGATAGTATTTTGCTAGCAATAACGTTAGCGAGCAAGCTACTAATCAGACAATATGTTCCACTAGCTTAGCAGTAATGTTAGCTTTGACTTTGGACTCTGTGTTGGACTCTGTGTTGCCCACTGTTGGCACTGTAGGGAAGCGGAGAGAGAAGGCACTCGGGAGCATAAAGTTAAAATTATACAGAGACGGACAGACAGACAGACAGACAGACGGACAGACAGACGGACAGACGGACAGACAGACAGACAGACAGACAGACAGACAGACCTGGCTGCTGTAGTTGTCAAACACAGTGGGGATGTACTCTTTGGGAAAAGCTCCGGTGGTGTAGGAGATGAGGAGGCAGGTCTTCCCCACAGCACCGTCACCGACAACCACACACTTTATACTCTGCATGATGACCTCTGACCTCTGAGCCTTCAGCGACCTGCAACACACACACACACACACACACACACACACATTACTGCTATAGTCAGTCTGTACAGTTCAGGTCTGTGAGTCTGTGTCGGACTCTGTGGAGACTCTTGTTTGAGACATCTGAAAGCTCTTGAGGAGGAGGAACCAGGTTCAACCAGTCAATTATCATTATCATTATTATCATTATGCTGCGTCGGCTCAGAGGGCTGTGAGTTGAACTACAGATATGAAACTTGGTCCAGTGACAGGAAATAATGAGCATGTGCTTCCCAAGAAACATGAGCCCAATCAGCCAGATGGTGGCGCTGTTGTTACGGCCCAAATATCCAACTCTGGAGCCACTAAAGTCAGCTATTTAGAATTGTTTGCCAAACACATTTTTGCCGTCTCCTCCTGAACCGTCGCTCCGACTGCTACCAAATCTTCTGTGGATCAACATCCGACGAAGCTCATCATCACTGCATAAGGCTTATTGATCACTTATTTAGTGTTCAAGATATTGTCCAATGAGCTTCAGGAAGGGCGTGGCTTAGCACAGAAACAAACCTGAAACACACCTTCTGAGTTTTACCTTCAGTGAGTCTGATTGGTTCACTCGTCCTGCTGCGGCTGTCGGACACACTTCAGTTTCCTTCAGTTAACACAGTTTGTTCAGAAACACGTGACGTCCCATCGTCTGACTGCGGGGGGAGATAGAGGGGGGTCAGTATTTGTGTTTATGGAAATGATCGTCGCTGCAGAAGGAAACTGTCTCCAAACAGAGATGTTATCCTGCACACACACACACACACACACACACACACACACACACACACACAGTCCAAACTTTATTTATATTTATAGAACAGAAAGACAATCGGCTCCATTTTCAGTCTTTGTGTCTCTTTTTCTTTCCTTTGTCTCCAGTTTTATAGAAAAAGTTCATCAGACGCAGCAGCAGTGTTACAGTGGTATCATTAGTATTAGTAGTAATATTTGGTTACTGCTGCGTATGCTAACCGTACTAGCTGCTGTTAGCTAGTTAGCGGTGTTGGCAGTTTATTCCTTGTTTTGAAGAACCGGACTGTGTGATGTCGAAAGAAAAGGACGCTTTTCCTGTTCACATTAAACAGGCCACTGTTCAAATATAGAGATTTAAATGATTAAATGAATATCATAAACGTGTGAAGACTAGTCGACGAAGAAGATCTTTAGCCCCGATGGAAAAATTGCTACGTAACGAACCGCTAACTGCCGTTAGCAAAGTCAGCCGAGTCCCTGATGTCACCCACATCCTGCCCGAGTCACCAGGTTCAAACCATTGACAGTATATATTACGGACAGAGCTTCAGGGTCTGTGAAGTGTCTTAAACCTGCATTCTGTGTAACGACCAGCAGGGGGCGCTCCGCTGGCTTCAATAAACACTGATACCATTCACTAAACACTAAAAATACACAGACAACAAAACTAAAAACGTCACGTTGAACTTCTCAGTCCTACAGGTGACGTCTGAGCTGCAGAGGTCAGTTGGACGGGAAGAGCAGTTCAGAGACTCGTTGAATGTTTGTTTCTGTTTATAAAGTTTTATAATCGGAGTTATAGTTTGAGTGTCTGCGTGCTGCAGAAACGTGTGAAGAAGAAAGTATAAAAGAAAGGAGGAATAATGATTTAAAGATGATTCTGTGTGCTGAACAATAAACGTCTGCAGTGTCTGTGCAGATGTCTGGATACAGAAAGTGGCTCAGCCCAGACTCTGGGGACGCTGACCCCACCCTCCCCTCTCGCTCTCTGGGCGGAGGTCGGCTGAGCTCACTCCTGCTGGAAGTTTTCACCTCTCATCATCTCTCACTTCTCCTTCTTTCCTTCACGCTGTTTGGCTGGTGAGAAGAACTGTGACCTCTGACCTCTGCAACTCTTCAGATCCTGAACTTAAAGCAGCAACGAGGAGCCTTCGTCCTGTGTTAATGCTGGCGCCCCCTGTGGACACAAACGGTAGTGTTCCTACCAGCTCACTCTGAGACTGTTCATTACCAGGTAATAACTCACTGTAGTGCGTTATTAAAGTATAACTCACTGCATCTGTTGGGGACTACTTTCAGCGGCGGATGAATCCACTGCTGTCTGATATCAGAGTGATCGTGTCAGTGAGACGTTTTAATGTGTCGTAAACAGTGAAGAACATTTTGAGTGTTGTAACGACGTCCTTTTGTAACTCGATGTAGTTGGAGAAACAGGAAGCGTTCAGTGGACGGATGTCATTGTGGTTTCATGTTGAAATAAAGCAGCAGCTCAGAGACGACTTCTGTCGCCATCGTGTTCACTGGAAGTCGTTCAGACTGGAATTAAAGCACATTCACAGCTGTTAGCTAAGCTAGCAGCTAACTCTGTGACAGCTAACGCTACGTAGCAGTCTGCAGAGTGACATTGGAGCCTAAGCCCCGCCCCTTTTTGCTATGTGCTCCAATCACAGTATATGCTATATGCTATGCTAATCTATGTTGAAAAGACAACCACATTTTAAAGATCTTAAGTTAGCTAATTTTAGCAAAATGCTAGCTAATGTTTGATGTAGATTATTAGCTTGCATTTTGCTAACATTAGCTAATTGAGATGTGTCTTTTTTATCTTCAAAATGTGGTTGACTTTGCAACATAGATTAGCTTAGCACGTAGCATATCATTACAGGAAAGGAGGAAGTCGACAGACTGTATTGAAGTGAATGGGAAAAACCCAGTCCAGTTTTTATACAGACGTCAGCAGGTCTTTGAACTGCTCATCAGACTCCTGGTTGATGGTTTTATTACCAAACTAACATTTGAAAAAACGCAAAGCTATTTTCTGACCAAACTGATTCAGTGTCCTGTATGCTAACGAGGTTATTTTAGCTCAAAGTGTCCAGTGAAAGCAGATCTGAGGGGGAACAGTCAGACTGAGGAGGAAGAACGAAGAAAACACATTGAGAGAAAAGAGGAAGAAGAATTGAGATCAGTACCTGCAGCCGGCCGACTGAAACACACGTTCATTGTGTAGAAGCAGCCTGAGCGTGATCAAAGTGTGAAACACTGCTTCATTTTAATGCCAGTTAATCATTAGCATAATAAGTTATATATACTGTAACTCAGAGGCATAAATATATTTGAATGAATCGTCACATGGGGGGGGGGGGGTTACAGGAACAATGACACACTGACGAACAGCTGAGTTTACAGTACATATTATTATAATAATATATAACCACACTGAGCAGGAACAGAAGAGCAGTGTTTCATATTTTCATGCCCTGTTCAATCAAAATCTAAAGTTTGTTACAATTATAACTCCGTTTCCCTGGTAACACCTGAGGGTCTGACTAATACCTGGAAGAACCATTATCATCCCATAATGTTCTAATGTAATGGTTCACTCGCTCCACTAAATAGGACAAACCTTAGAGACGACTCTGCAACGGGAGATATTTCTAGTTCCCTCCACTCAGAGAGCTAACGTTACGCTACGAGCCAGAGAGCTAATTGGCAGGTGGGACATGTTTGTTCAACCAAACATTGTCCTTTAGGATTTCTGAACAGTCTCCCTGATATAAAACAACACACTGAGCTTTAATCACTCACTCAATCAAATCAAAGAATCAATAACTAACGCCTTTGGATCAAACTCCGAGTAGTACCTCAAGCCTGGGAAGTGATCTGTTTTTGTGTTTATTCTATTATGTTACACAAAATATAGACAATGGTCTTTAAATGATTATTTACAGAGAAACTGCCTCTGCCCAAAACAAGGTTCAATGATAGCAGAGACTCATCTACCAATCAGAAAGGATGACACCCAGAATAACAAACGTATATTCAGAGGGAGCAGACTGTGCTCCAGGCCCCTGATCCGGGCCCCTGATCCGGGCCCCTGATCCAGTGGAGCTTTCCAGTGAAGCAGATCGGACCCACAGCTGTGTTATTTACTTATTCTCTCAAATAAAAGAAGTTGAGGACAACTCTTCCTTTAATGTCCTTTCTCAAAATAACAAACACGACACAGGCAGCAGCTTTCTTTATCTATAGACCAGTTTTGTGAAAGGGTCGCTCTCTGAGCAGTAAACCTTCTGCTGCTGCTCGTACGCTGTGTTTGTGTATTTTCTGCTGTAAATCAAACTTCCCATCCAGGGACAATAAAGAACGACATTAATGATGCTATGACAGGGATACAGCGTGATACAGCGGAGGGTCGGCAGTGTTTGGTGAGTTGGGAGTGATAACGCGTTGTGAATCCACGCCCTCAATGTTTGTTAAAGATACAATTAAATAAAAATTTAAATGGCGGAGAGTAAATGTAGTTCATTAGATAAGAACACTACACAGTTTTCATTATCTTTACCAGAGTTCACACACATCCTGGAAAATTAGAGACTAGTTTTCCAGTCCTGGAAACACCTGGAAATGGATTAAAATGACTAAATATCCTGGAAATAATCTAAGTTGTCCCTGAAGATTTTAGATGTATTTTAGCCACTCACAGGTCACATAAACCTGGGTGTGTATTTAGTTTGAAACGCTGTGACACTTCAAAGTGGAACAGAAAAAAGCTCCTTTCTCATTTCTGATCTCATGTCAGTAAGAGCTGTTCGCACCACTTGCAGCTTCTGGCGTCAAATCTATTTTGGAAATGTATTTGTTGTTGTGGTTGATAATTGTTAATGGCAAGTGCAACGGACACTCATACTGTCTACCTCTAATTTTAATCGGCTAAAATCTACTGTCCTGTAGCCTGTATACTCTGAGAGCTGGAGTTACCTATATTTTAATATCTTGCCTGGTAAATTTAGTATAACATCAACTTCAACAACAGAGATACAACTGTCTTCAAGTGTGGAAACGTATCTGTCAGTGAAACTCAAAAACACCAGATACAAACCAGACTAAAACACCAGACAACACTGATCCAAACCAGACTAAAACACCAGAGAACACTGGACCAAACTGGACTAAAACACCAGAGAACACTGGACCAAACTGGACTAAAACACCAGAGAACACTGGACCAAACTGGACTAAAACACCAGAGAACACTGGACCAAACTGGACTAAAACACCAGAGAATATTGGACCAAACTGGACGAAAACGCCAGAGAATATTGGACCAAACCGGATTAAAACATCAGAGAATATTGGACCAAACCGGACTAAAACACCAGAGAACACTGGACCAAACCGGACTAAAACACCAGAGAATATTGGACCAAACCGGGACTAAAATAATTCCTGCAATTGTTTCAAATTAAAAGCATTAATTCCTTGCCATGCAGCTTGGGAATGAGTGATGATGTTTTTGTACAGAGTGCTGTGGAAATGGACAATGGTAAACATGGAGGAAGAGGTGACAACAGGAGCAGATCAGAAAACAGGGAATCAGAAATTAAGACCCCTCTCTAATAGAAGCTCAGCCACAGAGGCTGAAATGTAATCAGAGACATGCAGCCTGTTGTCTCCTTCGTGGTTTTACTGCTCTTGTATTTAAGAATTTCAGGAACTAACAAACAGCTTTGGTTTCGTCTCGTCAGCTGTGTCCTTTTTCTGTATTTTTATTTAATTTCGCTGGTTTAGGAGGAGTCTCCGGACCCACAGAGGAACCGAGTCATTATGCAGCTGAAGCTCTGACGGGAAAATCTCTAAAATTGGAGCTACGAGGTTTATTCTCACGGCTGTGTGGACCTTTTCCATCTTTCAGTGATCAGAAAATAACCCATTTAAGAGAAGAAACACCTGCTCTGCAACATGAGCAAATTATGGTATTTTTAAGGACAAAAGAGGTCATTTACATGCACCACTTAACCCAGATGGTGGACAAAATACAAAAATAATATGAGGCAAGTGAACACTGGTCCCTTACATTCCTTGTTAACGGGAACATTTTAAACAATACAGATATTCCTCATGTGAACAGGCAGGCAAACAGACTGGCAGAATATTTAACCAAAATGGGGCAAAAACACTAGAAAATACCGGATCAAATGAGTATGGGTATGAAATGTACTATTTAAATAAATTAGCCTTGCCTACACTGGGACTGAAACATTAGACAATATTGGACCAAACCGGGACTAAAAACACTGGAGAAAAAACATGCAACACATTAGCATGGTGGTGGTTGGTGTTACGTACAAACAGTACATTGTGAAAGACAATCAGACCAACCAAGAGTTCATCCAGTTGATCTCTCAGCTGAACTGTCATAAGTTAAGCAGGAAGTGTAAACTGATGGAAGACAGTTGGGTGGAAATGTTAGTGATCGTTTTCTCTTCTTAATGAACTTGTCTGACCTGGAGGTTTGTTTCCTATCTGATCATCTCATTGCTTGTTTGCCACCATGTTCCCAAATCTCCCTTTATGAATCCTGAAAACTTCCAGCTGACAGTCTGACGGAGGCACGCAACGTTTCCTAACCCCCCTCGCCCTAACAAACACTCAGACGCCACCCAAAGAGGAACTGCTCTGTGTTGAAACCGAAACAGGAAGGGTTTGTCCGCTGATTTGTCCATCCAGCAGCAGAATGTGTGGAGGAAAAGTGTTAACTGGGACCGTCTTACCAGCAGTTTCTATCAATACCCACAGAAAGAAGTACTGGTGGAAGTCTCCTTTAACAGCTGACGTGTGTTAACTCTATATCACAGCCACAGAAAGCTGTAACTGGGGCCAAACCAGGGCTACAAGATAAGACAGTACTGGACAAATACACCAGATAGTATCAGGCTGAACCAGGACTAAAACACCAGATAATATAGGGCCACACCTGGACTGAAAACCAGATAATATCGGTCCAAACCAGGGTAAAACACCAGATAATATCGGGCCAAACCTGGACTTAAAGAGCAGATAATATCGGGCCAAACCAGGGTAAAAACACCACATAATATCGGGCCAAACCAGGACTTAAAGACCAGATAATATCGGGCCAAACCTGGACTTAAAGACCAGATAATATCGGGCCAAACCGGGACTAAAACACTGCATAATATCGGGCCAAACCTGGACTTAAAGACCAGATAATATTGGGCCAAACCTGGACTTAAAGACCTGACAATATCGAGCCAAACCAGGGTTAAAACACTGCATAATATTGGGCCAAACCTGGACTTAAAGACAAGATAATACCGGGTCAAACCAGTGCTAAAACACCAGATAATATCGGGCCAAACCAGGGTTAATATTGGACCAAACCAGGGCTAAAACACGAGATAATATCAGGCCAAACCTGGACTAAAACACCAGATAATATCGGGCCAAACCTGCACTAAAACACCAGATAATATCGGGCCAAACAGGGACTAAAACATCATATAATGTCGGGCCAAGCATGGACTGAAAGACCAGATAATATCAGGCCAAACCTGGACTGAAACACAAGATAATATCAGGCCAAACCGGGACTAAAACACCAGATAATGACAGGCCAAACCTGGACTTAAAGATCAGATAATATCGGGCCAAACCAGTGCTAAAACACCAGATAATATCGGGCCAAACCTGGACTTAAAGACCAGATAATACCGGGCCAAACCAGGGTTAATATCGGGCCAAACCAGGGCTAAAACACCAGATAATATCAGGCCAAACCTGGACTACAACACCAGATAATATCGGGCCAAACCTGGACTAATACACCAGATAATGTCAGGCAAACCGGGACTAAAACAATATATAATGTCGGGCCAAACCTGGACTGAAAGACCAGATAATATCGGGCCAAATCAGGGTTAAAACACCAGATAATATCAGGCCAAACCTGGACTGAAAGACAAGATAATATTGGGTCAAACCTGGACTTAAGACCAGATAATATGGAGCCAAACCTGGACTAAAACACCAGATAATATCGGGATTAAAGCAGGACCAAAGAGAACGCTGCATATAAAACAGTATATTTTGTGACTCACCACATCAGCACTAACTTGGCGATCTCTGACATATCTCACCCTCTGACTTCCTGTCTCATTCTGGGAAGCCTCAAACTGTCCAACTTATTGTGATGTTTCTGATTCACATCTGAGCGGGCTGCCGGCGCTCTGAGTGACATCATCTCGTCCAGTGTGACAGGACAGGGTTAACCAACTCGCTCAGAGTGTCTTCCTACGATATTAATACACTTATTATTACGTTGTGTAATTCTTATAAAGTTAAATACAGTAATATCTGTAATAATCTGAATATATCTGTAAATGTTTTAATGTAATAAGCATTCATTCATTAATTAATGAGTCAGTATAACCTCCTAATGATATCATTTATACACTGTCTACCTCAGTAATACACACACATACAGTAGTGTTAGTACTCATAGTAAGTAGTAGTAATCTGAATACTTCCTCACTGATACACATTTATATCTTTTATAATTCTGATACCTGATATTTGTTCAGTTTTACACTCAATTTATGGAAAAGTTCATAGAAGAAGTGACACACACACACACACACACACACACACACACACACACACAGTCACTGGGAGTGGTCGCACTTTACGTTCACCGTCAACAAACAAACAAACAATCAGGTTATTGATCCGCTGGAGACCCGATCGATCAGCTGACGGGAATTAAAGAGAGAGATCAATAACGCGATTAAAGTTTGGACAGAGAGAGGAAACACACACACACACACACACACACACACACACACACACTGTCTGTCTGTCTCTCTCTCTCTTTCACACACACACACACACACTCACTCACTCAGCGGGTCGGTGGGTCCTGGAGCTCTGATGGGGATGTACAGCAGAGACTCGCCGGTCATCAGTCCTCCTCTCCGGGCACGCAGCTGCGCTCAGTCCCGCTCCGTCTGTGGGTGCGTGTGTGTGTGTGTGTGTGTGTGTGTGTCAGTGTGTGTGTGTCAGTGTGTGTGCGGGAGGGACCGCGGATCTCTATGTCAGTGTGAGGCGGGCGGAGCTAATGAAGAGGAGGAAGTCTGAGAGGAGAGAGAGAGGAAGTGGTGGAGCAAGTTTGAGGAAGTTTATTCTGTGTGTGTGTGTGTGAGTGTGTGTGTATGTAAGTGCGTGTGTGAGTGTGTGTGTGTGGGTGTGTGTGTGAGAGAGAGTGTGTGTGTGTGTGAGTGTGTGTGAGTGTGTGTGAGAGAGGTGTGTGTGTGTGTGTGTGTGTGTGTGTGTGTGTGAGTGTGTGTGTGTGTGTGTGTGTGTGTGTGTGTGTGTGTGTGTGTGTGTGTGTGTGTGTGTGTGTGTGTGTGTGTGTGTGTGTGTGTGTGTGTGTGTGTGTGTGTGTGTGTGTGTGTGTGTGTGTGTGTGTGTGTGTGTGTGAGTGTGTGTGTGTGTGTGTATCTAAGTGTGTGTGTGTGTGTGTGAGTGTGAGTGTGTGTGTGTGTGTGTGTGTGTGTGTGTGTATCTAATGTGTGTGTGTGTGTGTGTGTGTGTGTGTGTGTGTGTGTGTGTGTGTGTCTGTAACATTGGGTTTGTTCCAGAGTTGAGAAACATGTTTCTAAATTCATATAAAGAACCAATCAGAGATCAGTATTGTAAACCAGCATGAAGCCCCGCCCACCACTAGACTGATTGACAGGTGTGTTCATACAGAAGCTTATTTAAGGAGGAATAGTTCCACCTTTAAAATCTTCTTCCAGAAAGAAAATAATGATTGTGATTTGTGTCTTTGTGTCTTTGGCCCCTCGCACTCTCAGAAAGCCAACCAGAGAATTCCCCGCAGTGTCGAGCAGTTAGTTCAAACAACAGATGTTTACAGTGTTTAATTATTATTATTCACTATTAATTATTAATAAATATTATTCATCATAAAGAGTAATCATAAAGAGTTTGTAAACTGATGTTACTGCCACCAGCTTCCTGACTGAGCATTGATCTGAGAGCAGAGAGGGACTCTTTTAACCTGCACCTCCTCCCTCTGGCCACAGGGTGGCGCCATCACACTGCTGCGTCACACAGCTGCTGCCTTCCAGTGCTGTTGGAAATTAGACAACCACAACGTCATCCAGGATTCTGCCATATCATATCTAGTTACATTAAAGTTCGTCAGTAAAACAACAACAATCTCGTTAGAGAAACTACAGGAACTACAGGAACAACAGGAACTACAGAAACTACCGAAACAGCAGGAACTCCAGAAACTACAGGAACTACAGAAACTACAGAAACTACACGAACTACAGGAACCACAGAAACTACAGGAACTAAAGGAACAACAGAAATTATAGAAACTACAGAAACTACAGGAACTACACAAACTACATAAACTACAGGAACTACAGGAACTATAGAAACTACATGAACTACAGGAACTACAGGAACTACAGAAACTACAGGAACTACAGAAACTACAGGAACTACAGAAACAACAGGAACTACAGAAACTACACAAATTACAGAAACAACAGAAACAACAGGAACTACAGGAACTACAGGAACTACAGAAACTACAGAAACAACAGAAACTACAGAAACTACACAAATTACAGAAACAACAGAAACAACAGGAACTACAGGAACTACAGGAACTACAGAAACTACAGAAACAACAGAAACTACAGAAACTACACAAATTACAGAAACAACAGGAACTACAGGAACTACAGGAACTACAGAAACTACAGAAACAACAGAAACAACAGAAACTACACAAATTACAGAAACAACAGAAACAACAGGAACTACAGGAACTACAGAAACTACAGGAACTACAGAAACTACAGGAACTACAGAAACTACAGAAACTACAGGAAACTACAGAAACAACAGGAACTACAGAAACTACACAAATTACAGAAACAACAGAAACAACAGGAACTACAGGAACTACAGGAACTACACAAACTACACGAACTACAGAAACTACAGGAACTACAGAAACTACACAAACTACAGGAACTACACAAACTACAGGAACTACAGGAACTACAGAAACAACAGGAACTACAGGAACTACAGGAACTACAGAAACTACATGAACTACAGGAACTACAGAAACAACAGGAACTACTGGAACTACAGGAACTACAGAAACTACATGAACTACAGGAACTACAGAAACAACAGGAACTACTGGAACTACAGAAACTACATGAACTACAGGAACTACAGAAACAACAGGAACTACTGGAACTACAGAAACTACATGAACTACATGAACTACAGGAACTACAGAAACAACAGGAACTACTGGTCATCGTTTATCATTTCAAATCTGTTTTTTAAACTAAACAGAAGTTTTCAACTGTGGAAAATATCAGTAACAAAGATCTTTACTAAATCTAACCAAGTAGTTTTATTAACTTAAAACAAAAGTGAAAATAATACAAAGTCAATAGTAATCAATAAGAGTCAGCAAGTGTTTGACATTATACTTTAGAAATGTATAAAACGATGAATCGATTATCAAACTAGTTGATTAACTTCCCTTTGATTGACTAATTGATTGAAACTGTTGCAGCTCTACAAAGAGAGGTGATTTAATCCATCTCTCTGATGTCGGAGCTTTCAGCGGGTCCGTGAAGGCAGCGCAGGCGGATCTTCGTGTGTTTGGTGCAGCAGCAGTTTGTTGAGTTTGAGTCTCGGGTGGAGACTGAAGAACAAACTGTTTGATCAGCACGCTCACACTTTGTTTCGATCAGTTTGTGCCGGATCGATCGCAGCTGATCGGAGCTGATCGGAGCTGATCGCAGCTGATCGGATCGATGGATTAGAGCAGCCTTGCGGAGGTGAGTGAAGATGGTTGGAACTGAAGCGGGTTTTTCCGCCGCCTGTTTTCGCTGCAGGGATGTTGGTGTGAACGTGAACAGCTGTCTGACCTCTGACCTCCAGTCTAACTGACTTTATGTCGAACAAGAACAAGTTTCCGGGTACTTTGTAGTTAACAGATCAATGAAGGCGATCAATCACTCGAGGATCGATATTTCACTGCTGTCGGTCACATGTTTGTTCAGGTGACGTTGACGTGTTTCATTGATTTAACTTGAGTTTAAACTCATCCAGGAGCTGAACAGAGGACAGTGAACGCATCATGCTCTCAATCTAACTTTGTTGGATAAAAATAAAATAAAACAAAATAATGATAATAATAATAATAATAATAATAA